CTACCACCACGCATGAGCTGATGCGTACAGTCGATGTTGAGTGACCAAAAAGTGAACAGGCATGGAGACGCACCGTGCTCCGCCGATTCAGCCAGAATCCGTGGCCGGGCCGGGATATACGTGTCTGCCCAGCTTCTGTACAAACTTGTCTCTGCCTGAATTGTGAATTTGCTCGTTGCTTTGCATTTACGGGTGTCAGAACCATGCACGTACATTACAGTACTAGTACGTACTAAGTATAGTAGTGTTGTCTATATACAAACCTCAAGTTAATGCAACATCCGTTCAGAAGAAAAAAGAAGAGAGTTGAAGCCACGTCAGTTCATCTAGGTGTTTTTGGGTGGTGTCGGCGACCGCGACGAAGTCCTGTAGCGACAAAATGGGACAAAATGGGAGATGAGGCACAACAAACAGAGATCCTGCATAAAACGCCGCGTGAAAGCAGCACCCATGTTAGTAGGATCTTTTGGCGCTCTCACTGACGACTGAGGCTGGTCATAGTGGGGAGTAACTTAGACTAGTAATATGTATATGTTACTAGGCTATGTTACTACCTTTTTAGTGGGTAGTAACATATATGTAGTGTCATGCATCACTTCATTTATTACTTCATAGACTCATTTAGCATTGGGAACCGCTAGGTGATGGTAACATATTATGTTACTCTATTTGTCTCTCTCCTCATTAACTACTTGACACATCATCACTTTTGCTTATGTGACATCTATGTTACTACTTATGTTACTCCCACTATGACCAACCTGATGCAAAGATTTTGGGTCTCGAGAACGAACATGCCTTGTGGACATGGGCGCCCTCGTGGAGATGCCTCGTTTATTACTCTCGGGGAATGGTGTGCACTTTTTTGTCTGTCTTAGCTCTACGACTGTAATCAGGTCTAAACAAATGCGCGCGCCTTTTTGATGTCCAGAAAGGAGGCGCATATTTTTCTTGCCGCCAGTTCTTGATGAGAAAGGAGACGCACATTTTTCTTGCTGGCAATTCTTGGTGAGATTCGCGAAAGGACAAAGATAAACAACGTTGCAGGTTACTCGGAGAAGAACAACCCACTCGATCTGGTAGAAGCGTGATTTTTCTAGATTCTTTTTCGGAAATGTTAACGCCCACACGTGTGGGCGTTTGCACATCGCCCACACGCCTCCATCACCACTCATTTTGCCATGTACGAATAGATGACATTAGCAGAATTTTTTTTTTGGTTTTCGGCTTAAAAATTTTGTATCTCCTAAATAAAAAAGCAAACTAAAAATCCGTTTTCACCATTAAATCCGTCTCGACGAGATCTTCAAAACTAGAACCCATGTTGATATGTTTCGATGAAATTTTTTTTGCCAGAAGTTGCCACGATGTTTACCCTGCAGTTGCCATAGGGCTTAAACTAAAGTTGCCATGTGGCAATTTTAGTTTGTAGATCATGGCAATTTTAGTATTTTGACAATGGCAACTCCAGTACTTTGACCATGAAAATTATTTTTTGTATGAACCATAGCAATTTTATGTGCATGTATCATGGCAATTTTAGTTTATGGTTCATGGCAAGTCTAGTTTCTTAATTCCCCGTTTTATAAATGTCAAAATTTACTTTTAAATGTAGAAGAAAATAGCTGAAACATATCATGGCAACTTCAGTGTAAACATCATGACAATTCATATGCAATAGACATGACAACTTTTAATCCAAAAAAACATTTATCAAAACATATCAACATGGGATCTAGTTTTGAAGATCTCATCGCGGGAGATTTAATGGTGAAAATGGATTTTTAATCGGATTTTTCGTTTAAGAGATAAAACATTTTAAAAACTAAAAATCCAAAAAGATTTCTGCATGCATGCATGCGATGACGTGGCAATCTGTTTACATTAGAGACGTGTGGTGCGTCTCTCTTCCTGCCACACGTGTGGCAGTTAGCGCGACCCTTCTTTTTTTGAAGAATAGAGCGACCTCTCCGATTTCCATATAACAGAAACTTTTATGTCTTTGGGCGGATCCGGCTTGCCTGCTCCCTGTCCATGCTCCCACCCATGCTCCCACTTCATCCTACGGCTGTCTTTTTTCTTTTTCTTTTTCTAATCTAATCATCTTTCCCCCTGATTTTAAAAGGGTGGGGCCGGGCCTTATCTTGTTTCAATCAAATCAAGCCACATACGTGTGAGCACGGATGGGCACACACCGAAGGAGCAGACAAGTCTCGTCCCTAACAGCACAGCTAGAGAACCACATCCCTGCTACAGCTCTATGCGCAAAAGCATAAGACAACCTTACATAACCATACTAGGGGAGCTATTACCGGTGTCATGAATGACGAAAAAGGGATAGAAGGCAAGTTCTAAAGTCGAGTTTTTCTTGCAATCTTCAGAAGTCTTCAAGGCGGCACCACGCTGAGTGAAGGAGCATCCAACCCGATCATGTGCCTATTTCTCCACCCACAACATAGTTTTAAAGACTTCCGCAACAATCAACTCAACTCTTTTTACGCCCTTCCTCATTAGCTTCGTTTTTTTTGGATTTATCTGCAAAACAGGCCAATCGTATAACATTTTCACAATTAGATTCACAGGAACACAAGGGTCAGTTATTTTGTTGTTATAAAAAAACCACACTATTTCTTAATTTCCAGATAGTCCAACAAACTGCAGATACCCCTACCGACACCATGTCTCTTTCTTACTTATTTCTTAATCAATTGTGATCTTTTTAGATACAAGGCACTATTTTTTTAGTTAAGCCTAATTTAAATTATAATCATCATAAGGTCTTCTTCGAGTAGTGAGGCCAACTCCAATGCGTGACCTCAAACCGGCAGTTCTTGATGAGAAACAGACACATACTACGGCTCAACGTGCGGGAGCAAACGGACAAAAGTACATTTTTTTCGCCGCCGACCCACTCCCGGCCTAAATTTGGGCCGCATTTGCGTCGAAACGGACAACACACGAATAGGCGGGACACGCGCCCATGCCCTTCCCTGGCCCGCTTGTCGGGGACACATCCTTCCCACTTTCTCACTCATTCCCAAAAACCTTCCCGCGCCCCTCCTCCCCTCCCTCCTCCATGGCCGGCGCCTCGAAGAAACCCGTCGATCCGGCTACCACAACCGCCCACCCCGCGACAACAAAGAATAGAGGCCTGAAGAAACCATGGTCGGAGCTCACGCGGCGAAGATCGCGCGGCTCGACCATGAATCAGCCAAGAGGTGGGCCTGGTGGACTGTTCAAGCGAAGAAGAAAGTCGCTGCCGACTTCATCGCCGAGGCCGCAGCCGCGTAGCACAAGGCCGCCGTAGAGGACAACAAGGCCATCCTCGTCAAGGCCACATAGGTAGGAACGACGAACACCCTCCTTATGCTAGGGTTGTGCCGACCCACGCCGGCCATTCTTTCCGCCGCCGCCATGGTCGTGTCGAGCACAGGCTCATCGGCCGTTCGCCATCCGCAGCACCAGTCGCCGAGCTCCTCCATAACGCTGGAGACAACCGGTTTTCATTCGACGTGGCAGCTTCCTCCAATCCGCTTTTCCACGTCGCCGAACGGCGGGCCTTCCACATTGAGGGCCAAGGCCACGATTACGATCCCGACAAAACCCAAAACCTATACGGTTGTGACCAACATGGTGCCGACGAAGAAGAGGCCGACGACCATGGGAACTCATGGCATGAAGATGAGGATATCTATTGCAAAGATGAGGAAGAAGAGGGCGTCGACATTGATGAGGAGCCATATCGATGAGCTCATCCAAAGAGCCAAAGCACAAAGGAGAAGGCAACGCATTCGCACATAATCATACACCAAAGACGAGGACATGTTGATTTGCGAGAGTTGGATGGAGATAGGCCAAAATCCAAAGACCGGTGCTGTCGTGGAATAGTCACGGCAGATGTCCTAGCGTAAGGACTTAGTCGTGAAGCCATCGCGACTAGGTTAGCATAAAGGGGTTAAACGGGACAAATGACACATGAATTTATACCGGTTCGGCCCCTTGCGGTGAAGGTAAAGGCCTAATCCAGTTTGAGGTGGTATTGCTTATGTCTCGATTACCAGGGAGCGATTACGCTTGACCTAGCTTTTGATCTGTTGTTTCTTGCCCTGAACCGCCGCCGGGTCGTTCCTTTATATACACAGGTTGACGCCCGGTGGCTCACGGAGTCCCGGCCAGCTCATAGACAACGTGTCCGGCTCGGTGGCTAACTATACATGCCTTACAATACAAGTCTTACACATATGGCGGTTTACTCCTACGTTCCTTAAGTCGCCCCTGGGCCTTGGGCCCTCGCCTGTGAACCGCCATCTTCGATATCCTCATGGGCTTCTTATCATGAATCGCCATAGGTATAACCCGGCCCCACTCGGGCGGGTCATACCTAATAGTTATATCCCCAACGGGTGCCGAGCAAAAAGGTTCAGTTTTTTGGACAAGAGTTCATAAAAGCTTTCATGAACGGAGGAAGTTTGCGAGCAACCGTGGCATCAAGTCAATCCAAAAGAGACGGTGATCCATTCAATAAGAATGCAACAAGTTTTGTGCTGAGCTTGAGAGCGTTGATGCCCGTCCCATGAGTAGGCGTGAGCGATTTGGTATGACCTCTTCCCATGTTCATGTTTGTTGCATCGTGTGTCCTTCGCTATTACAAGTGCGGCCTTCTCTTTGATTATGTAGGCATTCCAATCTTTGAAGCCTTCAAGGTCCGGCATAAGAACAAGCCATTCACTCTCGCACATTGTTTGACGCTCATCAAAGATTACCCCAAGTTCAAAAATCAATATGCCGCTCTAAAGAAGAAAGGAGGGCCGACGACCGTGGCTGGGGATGGAGATGCGGTGAAGAGGCCAAGGGGCAAGACCAACTAGAAGATTTACGAGAAGCGCGATGCCGCATCTTTCACCTTGCAAAAAACTTTGCATGGCATGATAACTCAAAAGGATGTGAGGGACAAAAGGAAGCACCAAGGAAAGAAGGAGCAAATGAAGATATACTTCACCATGCCGGGGCTGCACGGCACCGGCAAGGACCTCGCCATCCAGGTCGACGGCGCGGACGGCACCACCATCGTCGCCACGTCGAGCCCCTACTTCGTGGCCGCGGACGCCGCTCAGGTGCGGGACCAAGGAGAAGAGGACGCCGCGGAGGGCGAGAAGAGGGGCGTGACAATGGAGGTGGGCGTGCTGGCGTTGCCGCTGGGGAAGAGCTTCACCATGACGTGGAACATGCGTATCGAAGCATAGGAAATTTGCGCTACATTTGCCTGTGCTTCCGTGTGCATGCTCGTTCTTCGTTCGATTCGTCGCGTGTCTAATTTAGAGCCTAAAAAGTGGAGTAGTTCATCGTGCTTGGGTCGGTTCTGTAACTTGTAGTAACCATTTGTGAACTCTGATTCGCCCATTGAAGCTCACTCTTGAAGGGAATAAAACTGCATTACGGCCGTTTAGCTTCTCCCCTGTATGTCATGTTTTCCTTTGCAGTTTCTTTTCCTTTTCCCGAAGCGGAAGAGAATTTCTCATTTAGTTAAAGAAAAATCAACCGAAAACGAATATAATCACACCACACGCGAACAACTCACAAAGCATGAAACCTTAAGACTACATGACGAAACTCACAAAGCATCAGCCAGACAAACATACACAAGGCGCAATGACCGTATGTCCGTCTGCTTCGACTACTTTCTCTATGGTGTACGACTATCTCATCTTCATCACCATGGCCAATAATGAACTCGTGTGAATTGTTCTTTTCTTCGTTGGCATGTGTAAGAGCAACTCTAGTAGACCCCGCAAAATCCCGACCCGCAAAACGCGTTTACAGTTTGACGAAGATCTCGTTTGCGGGTTGAGAATGTGCGCAGCCGAACAGAAACCGCATATGAAACTGCATAATTTGAAAAAAAGTTTCGCGGGAGAAATTGCAACCGTAGTAGTTCATCACGTACTACATATACTACATGATCAAACACTAATTCATTACAAACACTAGTTCATACTATATACTACATTCACTACTGGTACTAGAGAGGGTGGGGATCTCATGGCGGCGAGCTCGTGGCCATGGATGACGCGGTGGAGGAGCTCAATCCTCCTCGTCGGAGCTGCCGAGGTCGATGTACTTCTCCTTCTGCTCGTCGCAGATCCGCCGCCACACGTCGTCCTTCTCCTTGGCGGCAAGGTTCGCCGCGACTGCCTGTTGGAACACGAGGTCGTCGAGCTCCTTGTGGTGTCGTCGGCGCTCCGCCTCCTCGCGCAAGCTGCGTTCAGCAATGGCGGCCGCGACCGCATCGACATTGGTGATGAAGTCCTCGGGCCCAACGATGCCGCGGCGCACGATCTCCTCGGGCTCCTGCTTGACGGCGACGACCTCGATCTCCTCCGGCTCCTCCGACCACTCCCTCTTCACGGGGAGAAGGCTCGCGCCGGAAGAGGAAGAGCTCACGGAGTGGGAAGATCTCGCGGCGGAGGACGAGCCCGTGGCGGAGGAGGGCGTGCGCCTGTGCCGACGGTCGTATTCCTCCATCTCGCGGACGCGGAAGCTCGGCGGCGGCGAGAGGCCCCTGTTCGTCCACTTCCTCGCCCCGCGCTTCCTCGCGCCGTCCGAGCGGACACGCCGCTCGCGCTCGGGGTCGCCGACGCCATCGGATCTGCTCCCGGAACCACGACCGGAGCTCCACATGCGGCCCCACATGGCGGCTGGAGGCGGAAGGGGCTCACCGACGGCGAGAAATGTGAGGAGGGGAGTGAGGAATTGCGGAGAGACGCGACGGCGGGGGATAGGGTTTCGACCCGCAAATGCACCGCGAACTCGTAGATATGCTGCTTGGGGTGGGGGCGGTTTGTAGGGGATTTCCTATTTGGCGCATATGCGCCCGCTTGCGAACCGGCGCCTGCAGCGCTCGCGCGATGGGCCGGCCCAATATCTTTTTTTTCTTCTCCGTTTTAATCAGCAAAAAAACCTGTGCTTGCTGTGATTCGAACCGGGAACCTCACGCTCGTAGTACCGCGGGCGCAACCAGCACACCAACCCACCTTATTCGTTTAAAATGAACTTTCACTTTCCTTTACCCTTTTCCTTTTTACCTTTTTCTGTTTTTCTGTGTTAGCCTTCTTTTACGTTTTTTTTCAATTCGATGAACTTTTTTCAAAATCATTGAAATTATTTTAGAATTTGATGAACTATTTTCTAATTTGATGAATTTTTTATCGAAATCAATGAACTCTTTTCAAAATCCGATAAACTTTTTATCTAAATCAATGAACTTTTTCAAAATTCGTGAACTTTTATGAAAATCGATGAACTTTTTCAATTTCCTGAACTATATTGAATTTCGTGAACTTTTTCGATCCGTGAACTTTTTTCAAACTATCGATGAACTATTTTCTAATTCGATGAACTTTTATTGAAATCAATGAACTCTTTTCAAAATCCGATAAACTTTTTATCTAAATCAATGAACTTTTTCAAAAATCGTGAACTTTTATGAAAATCGATGAACCTTTTCAATTTTCTTGAACTATATTGAATTTCGTGAACTTTTTCGATCCGTGAAGTTTTTTCAAACTCGTGAACTTTTATGAAAATTTACAAACTTTTTTCAATTTTCTTGAACTATATTGAATTTCATGACCTTTTTCGATCCATGAACTTTTTTCAAACTCATGAACTTTTTAAAATTCGTTAACTTTTCTGAAATTAGTGGACCTTTTCAAATTTATGAACTTTTTCTTGAACTAGTGAACTTTTTTCAATTTTCGTGAGCTTTTCTTTAATATCTGAACCATTACTTTTTGAAACAATTTCGTGAACTTCTTTTAATCTGGGAACTTCTAAATTTTGGACCAGCGCAGCCGTAATTATACTTAAATAACATGCAGTACCAATGGTAAGTATTATGAGGTGGCTGCAGTGGCTAGCGAAATGCGCGCAGGATGCAGCAGCGCGAGTTCAAATCCCCAACACAATTAACATTTTTCCTAGGATTTTTTGCTTCTGCTGCTGCTTGTTCGTGGGCCAGGAGCGCGAACGGGCGCCTGCAGCGCCGTATAGGAGCTCCCGGTTTGTAGGCCGCGGTAAAAAAAATTACGGGTCAGGCGAGTATACGGGCTCTGTTCTGATTAGAAAATTGGGCCGAGCCCGTATACTCGCTGGAATTTTGCGGGTTTGCGACTTTTGCGGGTATGTTAGAGTTGCTCTAAGTGAGTATATGCTACATGTTTCGTTATTTGCCATGTGAGTAATCTTATGATGATGATTATAATTTAAATTAAGCTTAAATGAACGAAAACTGTCTAGTTTCTAAAGAAATCACGCTTCTACCAGATCGAGCGCGTTCTTCTTCTCTGATGTAATCTGCAACATCGTGTGTCTTTTTTCCTTTCGTGTATCTCATCGAGAACCGCCGGCAAAGAAAAGACATCGAAAAGGCCACCGCATTTGTTTAGACGTGATTACAGTCATAGAGGGGGACAGACAGAAAATTCCACACTATTCCACAAGAGGATAATAAACGGAGATGCCGTGATGGGCAGGCCCCAGAGGGTGCCCATGTCCACGAGGCATGTTCGTCCTCGAGACACTACAAAACTCGATCGGCAGTGTTCACTTCACATTGTTGTTTTATCTCTAATTTACTCCTCGAAGCTTTGCATTGCATTGCATCAGTCGTCAGTGACAGCGCCATAAGATAGTAAGTAGGAGTACTAACAATCGAGACATGGGCACTACTGATTTCGCGGGGCGATTTATGCGCGCCCTCTGTTTTATGTGCCTCATCTGCCGTTTTGTCGTACAGGACCTCACCCGAAAACCCGCTACAGAAACTGACGTGGCTGGCTTCAACTATTTTTTCTCTCTCAAAGAATGTTGCTTTAACTTGAGGTTGGTACATTGATAAACATTAGGAGTACTACGTACTGTACGCGCGTGGTTCCGACACCCGTAGATGCACAGCGACCAGCCGTGGCAGAGAAATTCGCAAAGAAACATATGAGCATACATACACAGTACTACTACAAGTTACACGTGGACATTGTCTTAGTACTACGTGTGTCCCGGCCACCACGGATTCTGGCCGAATTGGCGGAGCACGGTGCGTGCGAGTCCGTTCTCTTTTTCGTTACTCAACAGCGATCATGCCCATGCTCATGCATGGGTAAGGTGTACTGGCCGCATCGCAACAAACATTTTTTCGGACGCCACGGGCCGACGTCCAGCTACGTGTTATTATGTTGCGTGAATCGAGCGGATCGGAGGAATCAGACAAGCGGGACACCTCGATGATGGGCTCAAAACTCGGGCCCTGCCCTGTGTTCTGCTCTCTTGGGCTGGTTGTAATGGGAGTATTATAGCTAGTATCATGCATGCCAACTAGGCAACTTTGATGAGGTGGCATAGAATTAAATGAAGTAAAAAAGGGTTGAGTATCATACCATGATACCGTATCATAATAAATGCTACACTAGTATGTGTCATGCATGGCAATAAATAAAGTCATCTATGATACTGCCATATGATATCATGCATTAGGAAGATAGTTTCGTACACTAGTATCATATGCATGATACTAACTTATGATACTACCCATTACAACCAGCCTTGTATCGTGCTCTGACACCTCGCCCCGCGCACGCACGCACGCACGCACTCATCATTTCCCGAGAGCAAGCGTGCGGTGGAGGGGGACTCGATAAAGCTGGCTGGCGGAATCTTTGACGGATCGATGCGGCACCAATTGCTCGCAAGCATGCAGGCCAAATCATGGAAGGAATTCGATCCCATGCATCTACTAGTACTACGGCAGATGGCTTGCTTGCTCTTGTACGGTGTCTTTTCTCACGGTTGCATGGATGCAAATGACCAATTAAAGTAATAATAATAATAACTCCGTTATGGTATACAACCACCTCACCACACAGAAATACTCAGGGGGTGAACCTGATGTTTGGTGCTCCTGTAGAATGATCCTTGGCTCTTTTTTTTTTTTGCTACTTTTGCTTCTGCGTTGATGTAATGGCTCTCAGGGTAGTTTAAACTCGGTCTGGCAGTTATGGACTTGGGAATATGTGGTGTGGCTGACCCTTGTTGGTCGTTGGGGGTTGCTATCTGATCCTGTTGAGTCCGGTTGGATTCTTTCGTTTACTTTTGAACTCTTTTGTAGAACTGTGTGGTTTTCAGTAATGAAAATCGGAAGGGGCAAGCCCTTCTTTGATAAAAAAAACCACCTCACCACTACTAGGGCATC